CCTGTTGGGCTATCTGTGAGAACTGGGAGGATGTGATGGTGGTGGGAATGGTGGCAGTCTGCAACTCAGTGCCATTGCTGCCCTGCTGTACTTCTTCCATAGTAACTGGGAACAGATAAATCAATATTACCGTTTTACAATGGCGCTAATGTAACACAGTAATTGTGTGTGGCAGGGTTGCCTGCATGTAACATGCTGCACTCCGCTGTGGCCTGCGCGCTAATTGTTGATATAGTAAACAACTCTGTCCGACAAATATGAAGCAGATCGGAGCGATGTCAAATCAATGTACTACTTTAGCTAAAAGTGTCTTCTTAAGTTAAACGGGTGAGTCTAAGCTAACTAACGTTAATTATCGACTTCCTCTTTGGTTCAATTGTGTTAGCCAATCCAACTAACGTTAACATGGAGTTACGGCACATAGCTAGGCCCCACATTTAACACTATTAACTTTTACCCTCGTGGTTAACATGCAACATTTAACAAAGTGGGCGACTTCATCTCAAGCAAACGTTTACAACTGAAACGTAAAGTTATCCTTTCAGTCATTTCTGCTAGCATATCCGAGCTCACCAACATCCCCGCTGCTAGTTAAGGGTGGCTAACGCTGAGATAAACGGATGTTAACCCGTTTAAACCGCTCAAAACAACAGTTTCAAAGCTACAAACGGGGCAAGTTAAGTTACTCTGCTTCACAGGATGGATGAGCTTTTGTCTCAATGAGCAAATATGTGTAACTCTGTCACTGGCACGCAAGTTACCGCGTCAATAGACGTCAGCGATACGGGGAGCCATTAAGCTAACTACACCTTCCCTTTTCGTAAAACGGCGAGGAGTTGACGAAGCAACAGCCGCCATTACCACCACAGCGGAGCAGACAGTCAGACGGGCACAAAATTACCGCTCAGCCAGCCAAAATTTACCTTTTCAAAGGTCGCGTGACTGCTCTTGTTCACAGCGTGGACTTCGTGCAACTCGTGTGTATACTTTGACACAGGAAATACCTTGAAAAAGTTACTTAGCAGCAGTGGCTAACGGCTAAAAATACAAAGATGTCAGCTAAAAAAAAATAGCTGACCACTTTTTTTCCCAAAGGAAATGGGCGGAGCAACCTGGCAAAGACGCATTACGTAATAGTTTCTTTAGGCCCTGTGATTGGTGAGAAGAGTTTGAGCAACTGGTAGATAGAGGAGGACAGAGTGGAAAAATCCCGTCTGTTACAAGAGGGCTCTGCTCAAGTTACCTCATTCATGTTATTCTACATTATACTCTGTATTTGAAGGGGAACTCCACCCATTTTCAAAAGTCATACAAGTTATACCTATGGTCTGAAGAAAGTCCAAAAATATGAGTAAACATGAACAACTCTCCCACAAATCCAAAACCTTAAGTGCTAAAACTAAAATTAGTGATGTCATAAGGCAGGGAAAAGGTGCTTTGCTTGTGGGCCACTTGTCCAAATTGACAGGAGACCAAGGGTCTGCTGATAAACATACAATAATAATGTTTATAATTTTATATATATACCTATAATAAATGGCGGGCTGCTTTCAGTCCATCAAATCCAGTTGTAGCAGCTCCACGCAGGTCAAGTGTACGCATGGGTGTCTCTAGGATTTAAGAACATTTTGGGCTCAGCCTCTGTAAGGGGTTACCAGTGATCTTATTCACTCTGCCAGTTTATGTACATCCCCCCTCCCCCCCAAAAAAATCCAAGTGTGAAATGAATTAGAAAATGGTAGGTGGGCCACCTGGCCAGATTAGGCCCAAGGCAGTAACACTAGCCCTTTTCACACAGTGACTGCGTGGTAGGGCCACCAGGAAGTCCCATCTTTAGGCCTCCTCTGTATTTTTTACACAAAACCAAACCAATGTGTGATTTTAGCCAGCATGCCCAGATAGTGGAAGCAAGAGGCGTAACGGGCATGACACGTAACACAACAGCGTCGGCTTCTAGTGTGACATAACATTTGTGTCGGCAGCACTTTATCAACAATGGCATAACATGGCAATAACAATGATTCACAAGTAAATATATATATATATATATATATGGCGGCTGATATTGTCCTCTGCTTGAAAGGGTAAGGAGCTCCTGGACCTCATTGTTTTCCCAATGTGCGGACATTTTCCGCCGCTGTTCTTCTTTGAGTTAGCTGCTAACTGCTAGCAGCTACTTTTTTTCCCGATGGTGGGTTGCACACATAACACGCCGCCCATGATCCCGTTCTGCTGGCTGTCCCGTTTATACAGACATTGTCTTGGTGCTTTTACTACCTACAATGCCTGCTAAAAGGTGGGACAACATTGCCCCCCCCATTCCGTGATTGTACCTTTTATACAGAACGGCAATATGGAATAATGGTGTAAAAAATCCCACCCCAAGGCCTTGTAAAATGGGCTACTGCCAAAGGGTATGAACTTAGTCTGGAGCTGCTGTACTGACAGTGAATTGGGAAAGATGTTATAGATGACACTCAGAGCACCCAGGGGGATGTTGTGAGTATATATTTACATTTTGTGTTTCAGAGCTGAGAACACCACAACAGGATAAAGCTCATTTGGGTATAAAAAAAAGAAAACAAACATTCTCTGGAGCCACAAATTCAGACTCCCATTCATTGTCTATGGTGCAGCTCCAGACTACACTTGATGACATCATAAATTTGAGACTGACTTCTCTGGTTTCTGGCTTTGAGAGAGAGAAGCTCATGTTCAGCAATAGTGGTTGAACTTGGCCATGGAAATTACATTTAAAAATCCTTAATCTAGGTGGTGTTCCATATTACAGTTTGAGATGCTACTTACACAGTGATGCATCAGCAATAAAAGTCCAGTAATAAAACACTCTGACAGGGGCCATTCTGCATAGTAAGTAAGAAAATATTGCTGATAATACTTGTACATCTACGTGATTAAAATTCTGAATTATTTTTACTTGCAGTATTTTAACATTGAGAGGCAGTAGGTATCTCCACTGATTGTTGGATCCCAGATGTTTGGTCATCTCTTCTTGAAACCACATTAGCACAGTGCTAATCCATCCAGCCTCTAATCTGTTTTAAAATTCAGACTCATGTCCATTAATTTCTGCATCAAAATTAATTTACAAAATGTTGGCATTTTCAGAAAGCCATGTGTAGGGGTATTAAGGCTTCCTTTCCCATCCTATATCACAAATTCTCAAACATGCCTTCACTGTAAAGATTGCAAGTTGTGTAATAATCCAAAGAGTCTAAGGTCAGTTTCAATCACTGTTACATCACGACTAAACTCACGAATATCAGGACATCTGAAATGATTAAATGCTTTTCTTTATTCTGTATTACTTTTACATAAAGTATAAAACAAAGTACAACAAACCAAAATAGAAAATAAGTGAGAAAAATGGGAAGGGGGTGTACCACCTTGATTTTGTTAACTAGTATATGAGTTAAAACCTCCCTAACATTAAAGATTCGTCAGTGGATCACACCCTCATGGAGCAGTTTAGAATTCACCAAATCATTAATATACAACATACCAAGAGTGCATACACAAAATATTGATAGAACAACTCAAGAGAAATTAATACAGTCTTAAGTACACTACTGGTTGAATTTAATCAGTCCTCTGTAATTAGTTATTACAAAATGTTTAAGCATCATGTTTATTTCACCAGACTGTGCAAGCTCTGAAATTAAATTGCACTGTCATTGAGATTGCATAGTGTGTTAAGAACTCTGACGCAGAAATAGAGCGGAAACTAAAGGAAGCCCTTGTAGACTTGCCAGCGAAGCAGGTAGATGGTAGATGGACACTGGTCGTCAGGAACTCCTCTTTTTGCTCGTTAGGTCTGTTTTAATTACAAGATTTGTTCTGACAAACGTCTACATTTTATGGGTATTATTCACACATTGCACCAAGGGACCGCCTGGTCCATCCCTGTGTTATGAGTTTTGTTCCCTGAATATACAATTTTCATACATATATACTGTATCTCCTCCACTTGTGCCTCCAGATGAGATGTGCCTCAAGCTGATTTCTTCTTGTGCTCGGCTGAGTCATGCAAACATTCTGCTGCGAACGGAGGATGCAATGTTAAAGCTAAGATGAAGTGCTGTTAGTCTTTTCTCTGGGTGGACTTAAACTGGGCAAAAGCAAATGTCAAGCAATATATTTCTAAAATTAGTAACACATTTACGTAACAATGAAATGGGATCAGTTAGTCCACACAGTTTCTTTAAGTACCACCAGTGCAAAGTGCAGTAAATCAATGAATCATATTCTTGTTACCTTGAAATGATTAAACATCTTCTATTATTGTGTTTGGCATGAGTCAATGTTATGATGGGTGAACTGTGAAAGTCCAAAAATAACAAAAAACTATTTACATGTTGACATTAAGTGTGCATCACTGAAATACAGAATAATTCAGTACAAAGAACCTATAAATTATGGCAAAGAGCACAAGGAAAGCACGAAATTACAGGAAACCAAATACATTTTGCAAATACATCTTGATGCAATTTTTTTTTTAATATACCCTTTTTCATACATTTACTTTACTTGCCAATCGAGGATGTTTCAGATGTGGCTCAGCTTTGCAACTGCATTCACAAGTGCTTTAAAATCCAGTGACTGAACACAGAAAATAATCCAGATACATGATGACTTGCCTCTATTGACTACAGACTTTAAGTACCGACAATATTTCTGCTGGAATTCAAAGTCATTCTTTACAAAGTAGCACAATGAGACGAAACACAGTCTGAATGAACTCTGAGTGTGAGGAGGGAAAGGAGAGGGACTATTATGCAATACAAAAGTGAGAGGGGTATGACTGTTTAACGATACAAAGTACAATGGTGATGGATATTACATGAACAGTTGTGGGCCTGTTTTTCTTAAATGTTTTTACAAAATAACATGGTTGCCTGAAAATATTTATGATATTGGTTTTTAGCCAACTTCCCCCCCCCCCCCCCCCCCCCCCCCCCCCCCCCCCCCCCCCCCCCCTCCCCCCCCCCCCCCCCCCCCCCCCCAATAACCAGGACAGTTCCCTGGCGTTAACAGTGATAGCCCTCCCGGTAAACTCTCAAAGCTCTTCAAACAAGAATCCTCAGAATAATATATGCTCCTGAACCATTAGTTATAATGCCTCATTGTTATAATAAAATAGACTTTTTTTTTGAGAAAGTGCAGTGTTATATCTATCCTGACTAACAATGCTTTAATCATCTTTACCCTCCATTATACAACTAGTATTCCGTTTCAAAAGTACTGTCAAAACCGTTAAATCTTATTTACAGTCCTCTCTCTGCTACAGTTATCACCCCTCAGCTGGGTTAACGATCAACAAACCATCAACTGAGAGAGACAAGTCAAGCATTTATACATTTATACAATTAAAAATATCTATACAGTAACGTACAGTATTTAAAATACAACAGGCCTTTATAGGTACAGTACAGAATATGGCCTCTTTCCTCTTTTATTTTGATCCCTTTGGATATCTGTCAGGATTTCCACTACTTGTCCAAACCAAAGGAGAATACACAGCCATCAATAACAGATTCATTAAAAATTAAGATAGGAATGTATGGCTGAAGTTTTGTAAGGCAGGAAATATATTAGGGCAGGAAAGTCGTGAAGATGTATTTGGCTTCATTAATGGGATAAAATAAGCTTTCTAAATAATGTGCACCGACTGAGACTGGCTACTTGTATAATGGTTTCATCTGCCCTGTTCTATTCATCCACGTTAGTGAGGAACGACGAGGGCTCGGCGCATGCTGTTTGTGTGCGTTTGTTTGAAAGCTGCATGTAGAAAATATTTCAAGTTGTTGATTTAAGTTTAGTAGCTCTTGGAATCTGTGTAAACACAGAGGGGAGAGTGTTTTAAGAGGTTTGTGGTGGAAACAGAATAAGACGACAGATTTTCACAAAGACATTAATATAGAGTTGATTTCAAAAGTGGTCCTGTTGTGGGTGTTGTTTTGCCCCTTTTCTAAAAAAGTGCAACAGGGCCTTTTTTTCTTTGCCATATGCAGTACATGTTGCCTCTGTCCCATTTGCAAAATGCTATCTATAAAACACAGTGAAGAACTCCAAACATGGCAGGTCCAATCACAGACATGCAGTGGCCAAGATATGCTGGTGTCACAAAGAGCTGGGCGGCAGTTCATGAGGTTCATGCTTTTCCTTTTCACCCTCTGCCAAAGCCATAGTTGAGTGCTGGGGTGACGGTGCAGAAGCAACCACACTGTGGATGATGGCTGAACAAGCCCAGACTCCCACAACCTCCTTACATGTTGTAAGCGACATAGATGGGATCCAGCTGGTCAGCGAGGAAAGAGTCACGAAGGTGCATGCGTTGCTTCTCTCCCCTGGAGTTGATGGGTATAACCCCGGGGTCCACAATAACCACCACACCCACGATGAGGTGGTGCTCCTCCAGGACCACATTGGTTATCAGAGGCACCAGGTCCAGCGCGTCCTGCTCTGAACCACACAGCTCTGACACCACCACCAGCAGGTTGGTCCACGTAAACACAGCACTGAGAGGGACAAGAACCCGAGAGCAATGTTAAAGGGGCAGTTCACCCAAAATTAAAAATGCATATTTTTCCTCTTCCCCGTAGTGCTATTTATCATAGAAGAGCAGTGGTTCCTAACTGGTGTGTTGTGGTCCAAAAGTGGGTTGCAAGTGACTCACAAACATGTTGTTTGTTAAAAAAAACACACTTTATTTTTAAGGGCAGTGAATTTCCAACACAAAGCTTTTATTTTGAAGTGTTGTTTCCTGCTGTAGAGTGAGTGACTAATGGACAGCTACTTAAAAGAGACAGCAAACTAGTTCAAAGACATGGCCAAAAGTATGACACCGAATGTATTAAACTGTGTGGACCTTGAACTAATGACTAAGGAGATATCTGGACCCCATGGCTGGACCAGTTGGAAACCACTGATCTAGAGTGTTTTGGTGTGGTTTGCCGGGTGTTGGAGATATTGGATGCAGCACCAATAAAATGCACCAATAAAATTAATTTGAGAATTGGATATTATTGGCCAATATGCATTTTCTTGAGAACATTAATAAAGTCAAGTCAAATCATAAAAAAAGTTATCTCAGGACACTCTTCTGGACCATTCTCTTTTAATTTGTGTGTCTGTGTGTGCATGTGTGTGTGTACACAAGGCCATTCTCACCTCTCAGCTATACTGCGATGAGCCCGGGACACTGAGGTTTCAATGTCGATTGGGTGGTAGCGCAGCCCTCTTAGCTCCAAGGTCTCATCCAGTGAGCCCACCACAAAGAGAGCGTCATGCCGATCTGAGCACAGAAAAATACAAGCAACATAATCCACCCACAAAAGTACGCAGAAAAAGTAGAAGAAAATGTGTATGTAGCTAGGAGTTTGCTTCTGGTTTAAAAGGGTTATTAATTCAGAATTTATCTCTTAATAAACTCATCAGCTCAATCTATTTGGTTTTAAATCTAGACTACGTACCCCCACTGGCCTCCAACAGCTCAGTCCTCTTCACAAAACCCAAGTATCCCGTCCTGGCCCATAAGGTCTGCGGGTCTCCAAAGCTGAGCTTGGTGTTGAAGTGGTTGGCCTGAAGACTCTCCTCTCCATAGATGGTGTAGTAACCACTGGCACTGTGAGGGCTGTTCACCCAGATCTGAGACCGAGAGAAACACACACTGAGTCACAGCTTGGTTTCAGAAGGAAGAACCCTTCATCCATTATTCTGTCATAAGGCTGTCATGTTGTACAGTATTTACATCTCACCTCTCCGAGATGAGAATCACCAAGTGGACCTCTGGTCTCTGGATTCACGATTATCACTCGAACACCTGGCAGTATCTGTAGATGAAAAGAAAATAGTCAAAGGTGTTGTCAAAGCAGAGGAACTTTGTTCATAGCTCTAAGAACCCCCTTTTTTTGTGTCCGCACCACAAGAACTCAGAACGACTGTAGTCCTTGGAACGCCCTTTTAGAGGGACTTTTTTAGCTCTTACTGCAGAATAGATACTCTCCACAAGAGGAACCTTGAGTGTCGTTAGCGTATGGTGATTGGTCAAACACCTGAGCCAATGCAGCACCAGTAATTGCCAATTTTAACTTGTTATTAACTCGTTAGCCATGTGAATAACAGACAACACAAAATACAAACAACTTGTAACAAAAAAAAAAAAAAAAAAAAAAAAAATGAAGAAAACAAGGACAAATGGACCGCAAATATGCGACAGGGATATACAACAATATCATGACTCATCAGAGTGAAAGTGACATTGCTTTGCCAACTGCTGCCTGGCTAGCAGTACATCACTCCAGCGTTTTTATTGGCGGTGCGAATGTGGACAGAAAAAAGCCCTTGAAGGGGCTTATGTAGCATCTCACCTTGCCAGACTCCATTAGAGGAAGGCTCTGAGGTGCTCCTCTCTCCACCAGCCTCACTCTGTAAAAATTTAATACAAAAGCAGACATATACAATCAAACTGCAATCCACACTCGATCTCTGAAACATTAGCTAAGACCTAAATAAACAGCAGGCCTGACATGATACTCTCTAAATTTAGAAAGCTCAATTTTGGACACTTAAGACTTTACAAATGTTCATTATAATCTTTCATCATGGTTGAAATGATCCTTGTGTTCTTACCTGTCATGTCGGAGGGATTTCATGTCCACATAAACTGTACAGGGATCAGGACCAGTGGTGCCCTGTAATATTCAAAGAGCAGGTTCTCCTCTAAGTATAATTCAAAATTAAAGTCTCCGTGCTTGCTCTTGTCAGAATAAGAATAAGTTGGCTGATGTACCTGCAGGCAGATGGCCAGGTTAACCCTGGAGCCAAAAGCAGTGCTGACAGCTCTGGACGACAGCCCGATGTCCTTAAACAGCTTGGAGAAGGAATGTGAGAGTGCAAGTCGAGGGCGTTCCTCCGCTATCACCACGCAGCTCCGCACACACGACAGGTTCACCCCACGGGCCTGAAACACACCCACACAAGGTGATCAAATCCTTCCGAAATATTACGTCTGTCATTCATGATTCTCCCTAGATATACCTAGTCCTCCTCACCTTGAGTAACTCAGTCTGAGTGCCCAGTCCTTTAGTGCAGAGCTCCATGACGGAGTAGGAGCAGAAGGTGTCTCTGATGCGGTACTGACTGAGCGTGCTCAGCCACAGAGACAAGCAGCTCTCCAACTCGAAGGGAGGGATCAGGACGGACTGGTGACCTGAGTAAACACTAAAAGACAAGACATGATGGAGAGAAAGCGGATGAATGGAGGAGGAATCAACAGAGAAAACTGTGGTACATAGCATGTATGTAGTGTACATTTACCGCACCTTGCGAGGCACCACAAGACGAAGCCCAGACCGCAGTACGGATCCAGGCAGATGGCTATTTGGCGAGAGGAGTACAGTTCACACTGCAGCTTTATAGAGCGACAAAGTGCACTGACTGCTGCATGAGAGATCTGCAACAAACAAGAATACACCATACACATTAGTCAACAGGGATTAGCCTGGGACAGAAGTAGGGTTTACAATAATTAATAGAATGATCTCTCTATGACTCATCGACAAGCACCTATCCTACTTCTGACCCCGCTCTCTTGCCCTCCAAGAGGACTCGTTTGCATAAATCTCAGTGCGGAGCTCAGTTGTTTTTTCAGATTTCAGGGGGATCCTCTTCCAGTCGCTGGATTTTTATGTTTCCAGATTTCTTTGTTGGATTCTTGTACCCCATTTTTGAACTCTTTCTGAACATCTTTAAGCGTTTTAACAGTCGTTGGATTTATGCTTTTTCTGTTATTTTCTCCCTTACTTGGTGTTGCTTTAGATTTCCATTAAGTTGATTGAAGCTAATAAACAACACAATTTTTTTATGCATTGTGTTCCTCCAAGCAGACATAGGTTTTCAGTGGGTATAAAGTGTGCTGATCTTCTGCCGCCAAGTGTTGCTGTTGCATTCGCGATTTTTTCTCTTCTGGGAAGTGTCATATTTATTTAACCCATAATACATTGAATGACAGGCTGTCTAAGTCAATCTTACATTAGTCACTCATAAAGATGCTTTATGCAACAGGGAATTATAAGTGTCTGCAGCAAGTCTGACTTAAAGTTATATTTAAGACAAAGACTAGCTCATGCAACTGGTCTCTGACTGAGCAATCACACTTGTCAGGCAGTCGCTGATCTTGTTTGCTTTGAAAGAAAACATTATGGCTAAAGATATTCAGGATTCAGTTTCTGCACATCACTTACACCACTTCTCAAAAACCAAGCAGCTACAGAATGATGTTTAGTTTGAAATCTGCAAAATTACACTGCTGTTTACAAAGTTTGTGAGTTTCAAGTGGCACGAGTTTGATCATCACTTAAACTACTCCAAAGATCAAAAGGTCCATCTGTCAGGTTTGATTGATTCTCAACGGATGTTTTTCATTCTGCTAATGTTTTAGATTGTTGGACCTTTACATTTAGTAGTTAGGGAGCAACATTAGCATCCATTTATTGTGCCTCTGGCTCTCTAATGAATGTAAGTCTAACATTCTCTCTCTTTCAGCTCTATTTTTGGTCTCTACTACCTCCTAAGGGAAATATCTTTATCTATATCTTTAGCTGCTAAGTGCTCTACTGTGTTCACCAGCTTGTCTCTAAATGTGTCTGTCTGCTGTTTGGTGCTGAGCAGGTACAGCACAGAGGGGTTTTTAGAGCTTTTTCTGAAGACAGTTGCCTGCTGCTGCTATAAACAACGCTACGAGAGTGGTGAGAGTGAACCAGAACGTTAAAGTTGAGGGCTAGACAGCTAAATAATGAGTTGTAAGACACTATAAAGCTCAGAGCTTTACAGAGCTGTAGAGGAGCTGCAGATTCAGGTGACACATCACATCACCATGAGTGATGCTTCTCCCATTGTCACATTGTTTTCACGTTATTTTATAAACTGTTATGTTGAAAATGTCAATGGTTCAGCCACAAAGTGTGGAGACCCAACGAAGGAGAAAGGAAGACAAGTAGGAGCTCAGCAGCTGTATACGTAACACCTTGTGGGTACTGGATGGGGATCATGAGTATCGAGAGCACACTGCTGTATTTGAGAGTGATGCTCATCAGTCTCACCTTGACCCCAGTGAGCATGCCTGTGGTGGACACACTGAAGTCCAGATAAGCAATCATCTCTGCTGTGGGCGGCTTATAGATCTGTGGAGGCCTACGGCGAGGAAGGTCATCTGCAAACAGGAAACAGTGCAGGTTTTACACAGAGCTAAGTGAATATTAAATAATACTGGGCAACAATGAGAAAATAAATGAACCCTAACCAGATGCATCTTGCTAACTGACTACTGTCAGTTAGTGCTATCTCATATACTGGTATGAATTCATTTGAATTCAGATGTTACAGATCATAATACCAATACACTAAAAGGGAAACACAGAACATACAGTATGAAACAACTAATCTACCCACAAGTTTGTCCAACAGCTGAGCATTTTTTCTAATGACTGGAGAAAGCACTGTCCCACTTCCTGTTTGTCTAAACGCTACAAACAATCCATGATAACCGACTTTTCTGACAGTACCGTGCTCTTCATACACAGTCAGTCACTGTGACGATGTCCTACCCACAACTGATAAGTCTTTTTTACAGTCTTGAATTTGCCTCATGAGAAAGTTAACTTCTGTACACATGGTCTTTATTTAAGAGTACAGTCATTTCTTATTACAAATACTAAAAAAATTGAGTGTTTTTTTTAACCATCTATCATAAAACTCTGTACACCTAATGTAGATTTAGGGTTAAAATATTTGTTAAAGTTGAACTTTGGACTGATGGTGGCACCACTGTAATTGTGTTATGTTTTTTTTTCCACATTAATTTGCAGCACTTTGGTATTAAAAGTCCTGTTGATAAATGACCTAATAACACATGGTGAAGTTTTGCCTGGGCCTGACAACAGCCCATTTTCACAGAAGACACTTTGACATGTCAGAGTAGGAAAAGCACAAGTGTAAAAAAAATTAATGATGAGTGAATTCCATGCTTCACACTGTCATGGCTCACTGGGACACTTATAGAACAGGGGCCTCATTACAGAAACTTCCTAAGTCTGAAATCCTATCCTAACTCAGTTTGGGATGACATTTAGGACTTTTGGTATTTCAGAAACATGTTTTCTAACTGCATTCAGGATTTTTAAAAAAATCCTATTGTATCTTGGGATAGGTATTAGCTATTAAAGAACTTGGGGATTTCCCAAATTAGGAATCAGAAATTAGGATGGCTTAGACCTTAAATTCAAAATAACTGCCAAACATGGCAGCAGCACTGTTGTCAGGTCTGTATGACAGTGACAACAAAATATAATGATTGAAAGACGACTAAAGCTGTATGATGACACTTAAAATGATGAATTTAAAAAACTGAGCAGAAAACTTCATGAAAACCTGGGTTTCCTCTCCTCTACTGACACAATTAGCTGCTGCGACTCCTCCTAGCTATAAATAAATGCCCGTCATTTTTTGTCCATAATGGCAAGCTGTGACAAGTGAAAGCTGTTGATATTATGGCTCGTCAATCTCGAGCAGCCCGCCAGTGCATTCTAAACATAGATTCAGGCATGACAGGACGAGTGCAGATTGATGCACTGAATTTACAGTTATAGTTAGGACTTCTTGAGTTAAGATAAGATGGGAGGTCTGAGATAAGATAGGACACAGCCATGAGTTTGGGAATTGCTTCTGTAGTAGAAAGATAGGATTTTTCTTATCTTTGAAACTTAATTGAAGATAGGACAAGTAGTTAAGGTATTTTTCTGTACTGAAGCCCCAGAGCCATTGTGAATGTTATTTAAAACATGTCTTTTTGCTTCGAGGACAAGTCAAAATGTCAGTGGAAAAAAAGGCCCATCTTTGGTATCTTACCTGTGTCAATGATTGTTGGCCATGTTTTAATGTTTACAGAAGCAGCAGCCTCTTTGGAGCGCAGAGTCCTCATGAGAGCTTGAGTGGTGAGGATACATGCAGCTTTACTGACCTGGTAACAAAACATAAGCGTGAGTCATCTGAACCGAAGAAGCTGCTTTACACTGCCAAAAACATGATCTATCTTCTTATAGCCTATCATAACACAGCATAACTGATAATGGAGTTTTGAGGCTGGTACTATTTTGGATTTCTGAGAACTTAAAAAATAACCAAGTGTTAGTTGAATTCTTTTTCTTTTACATAAACAAAGCCCATGAACAAACCCTTGTGATAAAAGTCCCTTAATTTGACCACAAGATTTTGTTCTGAGCGGGACATTAACAGTTTAAAAAGATATAAATCACAATAGGACACATAGGACATACAGTGTGTGCAGGACTGCCTTTAGAAATGGTGCGATTTAAAGGAGCTGTATGCATGCAACATTCAGAGCACATCTATGACTCAGAGTCTGAGCCAGGATAATCTGCATTCAGCTCTCAACATGGAGCTGGCTGAGCCAGCAGCTAACTGCTCCATGCCTGTACAGTTCTAACAACGGCAACAGTGCTGACAGTGATAACTGCTGTATGAGCACAGCGCAGAGCTGTGGTGATTAGCTAGCCATTCGGATACACCCACAGGGTCTCTCATGCACATGCATCTGAACTGTCTACCAAAACAAAGAACAGAGAAATTTGGATTACAACACAAAGAGAGAGTGTGACATCACTCTTTGCTCAGAATGCCATTACTCCATTTTATCTTTGTGTAGCAAATAGTGGTTTACTGCTATATTAATGTAATGAATGTCTTATAAAGCCCCTTTAGAGATGAAAAGCATTTCACTGACACTGGGTGCCCTTATTTTCAGTCTAAGTCATTGGTCAGATTTTTGGTGACCTGCAGTTTTTTTGTTTAGGAAGTCTAACCTCGTAGCAAAAATGATGCTCGATTACAAAACAAGTCATACATTGAAAGGGTCATCACAGGTAGCTCAATGTCCATGTAGGCCACAACTAAAATACCCTGATATTAAGATTAAATGAATGAACACATGTATGTAAACACAAACCCATGAGCATGTAATGAAATATGTGCATCAGTAGAAGAGCACACACACTTACATCAATAATCATGCGGACAGTAGGGAGCGTAGCTGCCAGGTTCTGAGGGTGCGGAGGTCTGACATTTACGGGAACACATCCAGCGTAGAGACAGCCATAGAAAGCTGCTATTAAATCAATGCCTGGGAGAAAGATGGAGGACAAAAGGGGATTAAAAAAAGTAAATAAATAAGAGAGACAAAACTCACAAAAATTAAAGGAATACCTCACCCCTGAAGTGACCATTTGTATATCATTTCCTCACCCTGTGTTATGTTAATTTAGTGAAAAAGATGAAAGAAAAAAAAAGCTTTTCTTGCATGCCTCCAAAGTGAACGAAGAATCCGATTTTTGGTGTTTTAAAGGGTTAGTTTGGATTCACCAAAGTCACACAATAACACAAACTAAAATTGCTGTTTTGATAATGAAGGCTGGGTTTGAAGAGAGCATAGATAGGTTTCACTTTCAGCTCAGTTTCCCGTTAGAAAGGACTGTCTGTTTTAGAAGTAGTGAGCCTACAGTTGGATAAACGAGACTTGAATAATACTGCACAAGTTGTGCGCGAATTTGTAAACCAATGTTGTGATATAGTTTTGCTGGTTTTAAATGCTGTCAATTATGACTTCAATTCATTAAAGTTTTTCAATGTTTTTGGATTTTTCATTCACCAGAGACATGCAAGGAAAACAAAGTTTGCTTCCTGAATTCAACGCAACACAGGGTAAATAATTGATATACAGTACAAATGGTCATTTCAGGGCTGAAGTATTCCTTTAATCTTAGTGGAAGTAAAACATAGACACAGACAGGAAGCCAGAGGCAGGACCAACCAGGAGGATATAGCAGCACTACATTCTCTCCGGTGTTGATGCTGCCTTTCTCAGTAAGCGCTGCGGCTATCTTTTCTGCTCGCTTGTGAAGCTGGACGCAGGTCGCTGTACTCACTGTTACACCCTGAAGAACAGAAATAATGCACACAGGAAGGAATAAAAGGTCACCAGAAACACAAGAAGTAATTCATATAGCACTATCATTGTGCATCACCGTCAAAGTATAAAAACTCCTCACCTTAGCATTAAGGAGAACAAAGAGGGTGTGGTCTGCATCTGTCTGTGCCCTCCATTGTAGAGCCTCTGTCAAATACTGATGCTGAAATAAAAAGCAAAAATAACTAGATTATTGTATATCTGAGGGTGTGCTTTAATAATCTTTATACATTATTACAAACACAACCATAGAGGGAGGAGTTTGTGCTGATGGAAGAACTTAATTTAATAGTTAAAAAAATAATAAGGCGGTGCTCAGAGACTGCATATCTCAGTACACAGCTGACTAGCATAAATGATCTCATGCCAACGTGCAAACAATTTACACCACAGACTCTGAGCCAATCCTGCTCTTAGAATAATGAGCAATAATTTAGGGTGTGAAAGGTTTGCAGTAAAACAAGGGAAAGCTACAGAAGGTACTCATTTTGTAACATAGATAAAAAAAAATGAACATGCACATTTTTGCTTGTGCCACATTTTATCACAAACGCACATAATAAAAACCACAATACAATATAGATTAGAGCATGACAGGAGGGGAAGACGCCAGAAGAGGGGGCCGTAATTCTTACCATCACAGTGGGCCACATACAGAGCTACATCCAGAGAGGGACGAGAGCAGAAGGAGAGAAGAGTCCAGGTTTTTTTTTTTTTTTTTTTACATCTTTAAGACTGACTTGTGGCTGAGCCTGGGCCATTGCTACACCGGCAGTGGAAAGGCTTGAAACTAGAGGTCGACCAATTTATCAGTTTGGCTGATTAGTCGGCACCCATAGGATGTTTTACAAATTACTGTTATTGGTGGGACTAGTGGCCAATGGCTTTACAGCCTCCACCACTCATGCGGGAGCTGAAGAAGGGAGGGTTGTGTTAAATCAAGCAAAAAGGTGCTTGATCAGTGGGTATAGCTCCAGAGAGAGGGTAGCTCCCTTCTGCTGTGTGACTGTATCTATGGGTGCAGTCCACAGGGTTGTTTTTAGATGTGAGGGGTTGTGCCACTTCCCAGCATTGGACACTTGATGGGTGTGCCACTAGACATGTAGGCTGGCTGTTTCTGGATTTCAAACCAGACCAACAGGGTGGCTCGTTGGCATCTTTGTCTAATAATATGAATATTGTTCACCAAAATGTGTCTCTGTAAACGATCAAGAAATACGCCATGCAGTTGCCGATTCTGTCTGTGTATTTCAGATCCAAAACAGTTTGTTTCAGAGTTTATCAGGAGTTCCCAGAGGTGGCGAGTTGCGCCAAATGTCCCTGATTTGCATAAAGTACCCAAGAGTTAACATAATGCAAATGAAGAGCAGACGCCCTGAATGCCCGGTGCAGCCGCTTCCTTGGGCAATGAGTAAGAAGCATGGCCATGCCGGATCCTGGGGACACGTACCTTAAGTGTTTTGACTCTTCATTTTAACATGCATATAAATTTTCTGGCTGCACAGCTACAGCGGGTCCAACAATACAATACTGGAGCGAAAGTCTGTGAGGCCATGGGTGATTGAACGTTGGCACCAGTTTCAAAATAAAAGCCTTGTTTCAAACTAAAAACTAATAAAAATAAGAATCACTCCCACTGACATTTTTTCATTTAGTTTGATTTGTTCCAGATTTATATATTTATTTAATTTTAGTTTTAATTAAGTCAAAGATTGTTCATATCTGACACTGCAAAATATTTTTCTGGTTGAACAATGGGCTTTCTCCTGTTCCAAACTACCATTTTTAAATCAGCCTTTCAAAAAACACTACTGGTCGACCTCTACTTCAAACCTGACTATGTGGCCATACAACACACTGGAAACTGTGCACAAGTTCCCGACTGATTCTGATGGACATGCATGTGGCTCCTTTGAAAATCGAAGTGTGGTTAAACAGTTATCAGATACGGAGTTAAATGCCGGTTGAAAGTGGGAGTTACAGTGATCATGGTCAAACTACCTTCCGGACAAGATCCTGGTCTTCGATCATGCCGAGGTCCCTGCCTGCTGCCTGGGCAATCCTCTTTCCTGCCACCAGATTGCCCACCATCACGGACGCAGGACCTACACCAACTACAAGAGAAACAGAGTAAAAGAGAGACAGGGCAAGGTAAGACCAGAAGAAAACAGGAAGAGATAGGAGGGAGAAAATGCTTGTAATACAGTACATTTCACAATAATTTCATGTTTTACCCAAGAAAACCTTAATACCTGTCACCTTAATATTAATCCTGTTCAACATGAGTTTAATTCTTACTTAACTGCAAAGTAAACATCCTAAGCTGCATGACTATTTTAGGAAACACAGATGTCACAGAACAAACAAAACTAATCCAATGTGAATACAGAGGATTCACGTGGCTGCATTCAAGAAGTGACATTTGTCGAACGTTGCCACAGCCAGGGGGCCAGCATGGCAGAAACACTGCTTCCCTAAATTCAAACTCTGCTATGTGTGCATTATGTAACACTACTGACCGTGCTCTTATTTTACAAAACACTTTATAAGCCTGACTGACTCTCACATGCCAGACCAGCAACAATTTCTCTCATCGTTGGGGGATACTGCGTGCGGATAAGCATCACCTACCGGGCTGCTTCTGGCGGGGCTTGGGCAGGTTGGTGACACACGTATGGGGACACATTAGGATGTTGCAGGGGTGCAGGTTGCCGTCTAAGAAGAACTGCTTGGTGTCAGAGATGTGGATGCCACCAAGGGGTGTTTTAGGTAAGGTGTTGGCCGGGACCAGAGCCAGGCAGTAGAGGCCCACCTGGTGGATGCTGTCGATGGCCTGCAGAGGAAACAACAGCAACAGTGAAGCTGCTTACGGATAACTTATTAGACAAAATACATTTTACAAAGACTATAGGTGACTAAAGGACATTGAGGGCAGAATAGTGATTTTGTCTCTGTATTACACACTGGATGATAGGTATTAATCACATATTTACTGGCACTAACAAGTTATTTACTGTACTTAAACATTTTGACTTGTTTTGCCTTTGTTAAAGAGGACCTTTAATGCTTTCTCTTATTTTCTGTCATAAATGTAATGTTACAGTTTTGGTTGATTATATTAAAAACATAGCCAGATCTAAATAATGTGGTAAACATATGTAAAAGTAATCCATATGAGTAAAATCTCAGGCCTCAGACCGTTCTGACTACTCTGTTTCCATTGTTTTTTCTACTTTTGAGACAAGCTGTCATGAGCTCCTGCTGGATTTCTTTATATGGTCATCTGCCCTATATATGCTACTGCAGTGTTTAGATTACATTACCTACGCTGCTACATGTAGCTATGTGCTATCGCAGTACTTTTATGGGTACCAACCAAATTACATTGGTATTACCAAGTACCGATTCACATGAAATCTATTAGTGCCAAATTTTGGTACCCAAGAGGACATCTAGATGAGAATGCCGGGTTTAGACAAGAGGCAGAAGTGCCATGAAGCACCCTAAAGCCCAGAAGCCAGCTACGGAGCTCCATGGCTGTTCCGTCAGTCCCTCTGTTGGTTTCCCAGTGAACCAAAACTATTGCTGCAGCACCAATCTGTCACAATAGTTTCAGTGATTGTTCTATTTTCTCTTCCTGTATTCTTTTAGTATACACACAGAAGTAGACAAAAGGACAGAAATAGAGGATTACCTCTGTGTATGATTAGAAAAGAGCAGAGGAGCAGAAATGCTTTTTAATTCACTACATCACCTCTGCAGCTTGGTAAAAAATGACATTTTCTTCAAAAATGTACCACTGGGTACTAGTACCGAAATCCAGGTACTGGATCCAGTACTGTTATTGGTTCAAATGCTAACAGCACCCAACCCTAATGCTAAAATCAGTGAAACATGTACTCTTGGTTGCTGATGTGGTTATCAGCTCCCCAATTCTTGATCATATTCCTGCGGGAATATTTCCAATTGTGAAGAGTTTAGATGCTTTTACTAGAAAATTTTCACAGTAGAAAGTGCTGTTATACTCCATTGCAGTCATTCCCCTGCCTGCAATGATGGTGCAGAGATCGCAGAGATATGAAGACCTGGAAATACTGACCAATCAGAGCAGACTTGGCTTTGTGGCTTAAAGAGACAGGTGCTAAAACAGAGCATTTCAGACAGAGTGAATACAGGTGTTCACCCACAGACAGTATGAAGGAAATAAAGTTTTTTGGACAATAAAGCATGTAAACATGTTCTAGTTGAAACCCAATCTGATAATGAGCATAATAGGCCCCCTTTAACAACGGTATTTTTGTAGAAAAGCTACTTCACAATAAAAGCATTTGAAAGGAGATGATGAGGTGATTAACCTGAAGCACTCGGCTCATCCACTGGAAGCTGTCCTCTTCGCTGGCGTCTGGCCTCTGCTCCGCCACAATCACCACCCTCTCATCATAAAACACTGTGACTGAAAACACAGCGATCCTGACACACACAAATATTTCATGATTATAAAGAGGGTGTGGAAGTCAGACATCTACACACAGTATTTACTGGACATCCAGTCATGGACTGTTTAAGATCTGCTATGCTGTTTTTGTACCACCAGATGTCAGTAGTGATAAATTAGGATTCCTACAGAGGAGCTCACCATCTTTCTACACACACTTTGCATGAAGAAGAATTTAGTGGTCTCCTCACCTCCCACGGTACACTGTCTTGACTGGCTCCACGGCAAGAGCGGTAGCTACCAGGTCTTCAGCGTTGTGCCTCCGCCCGCTCACCATCAGCAGACCCTCGATCTTCCCCACCACAAAGATCAGACTGCCCTGCAGGGAGCGGGAGGACACACAGCGGGGTCATTGTAGTGCAACCATACAGATCCATTCAAAAACAGACAGAGAGAGAAGGATGGCTGCCAGGACGTCTCGAGTTACCACAGATGTTGTGCTGTAATGAAACGGCTGCACTTACTGGGCCAACGAACCCCAGGAGTCCTGACCGCACAAATGGAATCTCTCCAATAGGAACTCCATTAGCATTGACCGGTATCACCTGAACACAACCACACAGACAGGACGTAAATATACCACAAAAGAAACTAATTAAATGTTGTTTGATTGTATCGGCACAGGCTGGCTGCGGGTGCGTTTCTTCTGTCATACCTCAAAGGTGTTTTTGGTGACTCCAGGCAGGCCGTAGTACATGTTGCCTCCAGCACGTGAGTTGATTATTATCTCGCCTATCTCATCTGTTTTACACAACTGAGGAGGACCGTCTGGCTTCACAATGCACATCAGAGCTGAAGACATACAAAGGGAACATTCAGACAACTAGACTTCATAAATTGAAGGAATTAAACAATGACACATTTCAGCCCACTTTTTTGAACCCATGACTTTTTCCTTCTAAGTTAACATCTTGCTTTTCCTAGAAGCTTTTGGTTGCACAATAAAAAAACTGGCATTCTTCCTCTAGCTATTGAGGTTGGCAAACTCTAGTATTCAGGAGGAACATATATTGTCTGAGCTGTGTAACTTTAAAGAGGTGGAAAGTGAGTTCCATTTTCTTCTGTAATGTACAAACACACCAGGAGTATTTCCTTAAGCACTGTCACACAAGAGGGAGTGCTGTTGTACTGAATATCAGCGAGGCTGTGATGCCATCACTGAAGATAATGCTGAAGATAATCACTCCCACTTCCAGAAATTCAAGAATAAGTCTTCTGGCTGTTGTTACTGCCTCATACAGCTAACTGCAGCTAACCTGTTAGCCTGTTGCCAAACAGTAACACAAAGCACCTTCACCCAGCGAGAGCCACCTCACTAGCATTATCTAAGCCTGCTTTTATCGTCGTCATCTGTATCAACGCTAACGTTTTTGCTGACAGTGACAGGAATAACAAAAACACTGTCGACATGTGCTCTTGGAACTTTATGCTGGCCAGCTGGTCTAACAGAGCCAGCAGCTCTGAAGAAGTCGTCTCAAATTTCCAAATAGGTGTTGTTTGGATAAAGCGATCACATACTGGGAATCTCAATGGTTATTTTCTCGCTTCAAAAACCATTCAAGTGTTATAACAGCTTTTTTCTTAAAGCTAAAAAACAGCTTTTTGGCAAGTAAAGGATAAAAAAAGCTGGTGACGCTGTGAGCTCAAAACCACACAATGTGGGAGTTCCTGAGTTTAGGCAAAGAACAAGTGTCAATATTTCAGAGTAATAAAATACTTCATCATCATCATAGAAATATTTACGTTAATCTTGAATATTTCACAAAGCATACCATCATTTTTCCTGCTACAAAACAAATGGTTTATGTCCATGTCAGTGTGAAATGAAAATCAAACTCAAAAGATTTGAATTTGCTTGAAATACTGCAAGTAATCCATCGCAGGAAGCGCTTAGCGTTTTATTTTTTTTTCCAAAGATACCTCATCATCTTGTGTTAATGCATTTGAGAGTATTTACTTGTTGGTGTGTTGTGCTTGCGGTAGGATCCAACATCCAAGATTTGAGTGTAAGCTGCAACACATCACTCTTTCCCGTGTAAGAAACAATACATTTTAAATAAATCCTTTATATTATTTGCTTATTGGGCTTCAATTTTTCACATAACGTAACTCATGAATACTTTTTGTGGTAGTTCTTTCCACAAGCACCTATTTGTCATTTGTTATTTAAGCCAAGGAATTCAGTTTGTGTTTGGGTTTGACTTGTTTGTCTGTGTCAGCAGGAATATGGAAAAAATACTTGCCCAGTTTTCATGAAACTTGGTGGAAATGTGAAGCATGGGCCATGGAAGAGCCCATTAAATTTTGGAACATATATGAATCACAGGGTGGATGCACAAATTATTTTTTGCTTTTGTTAACATTGTCAAAAAGGCCATTTAGCCATGGCAGAGGTCTGCGCTCTCTGAGTGGCCTTCTAGTTTTTGACTCATTCATCTTTCCTTCTCTCCTCACCTCCAGGCATGACATGCCCCACATCTTGTACAGTCAGGGCGGAGTTCTTGTCCTCGGTGTTGACTCTGATGACACCATGGCTCAGGCCGCCCATGGAAAGAATGGCACGGGCGGGGAGGGGTGCGCCCGGTACTCCCGGTCTACATGGGGGAGAGTTCGATCAAACATGAGCGTTTCCAGTCATCCCATCTGTTCTTACATTCAGCCATCTGCCCACCTACCCCTGTACACCACCACATACAACAGACTACGTCTTCATCCACTCTGTGAGACCAGTAAAAATGAAAACCTTGAGGGAAGCAGTGTGTCATGTTTTCTCTTTGTCTTTTATAAAGCATAATGTCCTTTCATGGGCCTTGGGTTGAAATGGATGGTGTGAGGGTGGGAAGAAGGAATAAATGGGAGGAAGGTGGGACTGGAGACCTAAAAGAAAGGGTCTTTGTCTGTGTTTGCCTCTTTCCTCTTACATAATGATAAAACAACTCAACACAAAAAGGAAATATGGGTCAGTGACATACCTGCGTATAGCTACTGTCATAGCCTCAGGGGAGGTGGCACAGGGACAGATGACCTCAGGTTTCAGCCCGTGGGACTGAAACACGTTCAGGAAGGCATCACAGGAGGATACCGACCCTTGACAGCGAGAGGAAGGGGATTCAGCATATTTCATCTAATTTGTGTCATCTGAAATAACCTAGTTTCACAAGGCTGGGGTTTATGAAGTACTCACAGGGGTTAGCACCATCAGCAACAATCAGCATTCGTAATGAAGCCAGACTGGTGTCTCTCTGGTCCCGATGAGCCATCATGGCCCAGTGTAGATCACGGCACTTCACCAAAGCAACTCGAGCTGCATGGGAATAAGAGTGACATGTCATATCATGATAAAGGGGACTAATTATGCTTTTTCTTATTTTCTGTCATATATTATGTTACAATGATGGATGTTTATATTAAATATGCACAAAGTTTCAAACAGTGTGAGAAATAAATGTAAAAGTAAAAAAAAAAAAAGTAATCACTGTGAGCAAAGACCTCAGGCTTCACACTGTTCTAAATACTCCATCAGCTTATTATAAATTCCTTTATATGGTCATTTGCTCAAGGCACGCTAGTGCAAGTGTTTACATTACATACGCTGCTACATGTAGCTACATGCTAACGTCAGTGAAACATGTAATCTTCATAATCTCTGTTAATTTTTTCCCGATTTCAGATAATACTCCTACTGGGACATTGGAAGCTGCAATAAATTTGCAAAGACGCTGAGATACACCAACCAATCAGACAAGACTGGACTTTTTCGTGAGTTGGGTTTAAAGAGACAGGCGCTAAAACTGAGCCATCTCAGACAGAGGGTGAATCGGGCGTTCTAGTACAGACAGTATGAGGAAAGTAAAGTGGTTTTTGACCATTAAACCATGTAAACATGATCTAGTAGAAACCAAAATACAAATATGAATCTGAAAATGTGCACATTAAGTCCCCTTTAAACATTTATTATATTATACTTTTATAATATGGTATTTCTCAAGCTGAGAGTGTAGTGATACCTTTGTGGATGTGGACCCTCTGTACCCAGGAGAGAGGACATGCCTTCATTACTGCATAGGGAACACTGATAGTGTGTATCCTGTTCATCACAGCCTGGAAACGAACAAAACCTGATTAAGCAGCTGAAACAGTATTTTTCCCCATCTCGACATTCTACTGAATTTTGTTCTTAAATTACAGAAAATGCAAAATAAAATCCCACACACACTTACCGTGAGAACTCCATGCCACAGGCCCATGTCCTTTTTAAAGTCAAGGACATTCACCAAAGTTTCCCCTTAAAGTGAAGAGAAAGACAAGAGCAACATCAGACTTATAACAACTGTGTCGATGAAGAAACCTTCAGGTGATGGATAATGATGACACTCAGCGTCCCAACTCACCTTCACAGTAGTTGCAGGCCTGTGTCAGTGCTTGACAGTGGGTCAACATGGCTACTTTAGACACAGCCACACCGACCACTGTGCCCTCTTTACTCGCCTTGTACTACACAGAGAGGGAACACAAGAAGAACGTGTTAATACAAACTGCAACACCCATTTCTTTTCATATTACATCAGGATGCAGGTCAGAATTTAAAGAAATAGTTCAACTCTAAATCAACATACATATTTATCCTCTGACCTGAAATGCTGTTTATCAAGATTGTTTTGGTGTGAGTTGTTGAGTGTTGGAGGTAACTGTTGTAGAGATGTCTGCCTTCTCTCAAACATAATGGAACTACAGTAGATGGCACCCAGTATGTGGTGCTCAAAGCACAAAAAAAAATACATTTCAAAAACTAAACATAACTCTTTTGAAAAAAATATGACCTGGTTACTTTAGATAATCCACAGACCTTGTCGTGAGCAGTTTCATGTAGGAATTGTTTTCTTTTTACTGAACTACACCCACCAACTGTATCACCATGCAGAAGGAATCGTGCATGTGTGGCTGTTTCACCCAGCTCCACTGAGCTAACTAACATCACAGATAAGACGAGGAGGACACTATTAATGTTTACATCTCATGCTGTAATGAGTACGAGGCTTTTGTCCATGAGTAGATGCACACTTCCTTCAGTGCAGTGAGACGGTTGGTGGGTGTAGTTCAGTAGAAAGTAAATAGTTCCTACATGAAACTGCTCACAACAAGGTCTGTGGATTATCTTGAGTAACCATGTCATGATTTCTGGACAGACATTGCTGTTGAGTTTTAGAAATGTATATATATATTTTTTTTTTTTTTGGCATTTTGAGCACCACAAGCTGAGTGTCATCTAGTTCCATTATATTGGAGAGAAGGCAGACATCTCTACAGCTGATATCTCCAACACTCACACCAAAACAATCTAGATTGACAAACAGCACCACAAGCAAGAGGAAAAATATGTATTTTTGATTTTGGGTTGATCAGTAGACACACCAGTATGCAGCTCCGTTACCTCTATATATGCAGGGTCAGTGTTGGCGGTGGGGATGTGCGGCTGCCAGTCTTTGGAAGGCTTGGTCAGGTATTTTGAGTCCGTCACCACCCACTTGAGTCGAGGCCAGCCTATCAGAGAAAGGCATCAGTAAAGTCAAGTAAAATCAAAGGGGCTTACATAATACTTCAGAATATATATAAAAAAGGGATGCATTTCAAACGTTACACAACCATTTTGAGAACACTGATGCCTGAAATTCATTGTCACTTCTTCATTAAAACTCAGAGTACAGTGTATCCCATGCAGTCTGAAGGTGACCTGAGATTTAGCTATTCTATGTTTCATGAAAGAGTTTTTTAAATCAAGATAAATGCCTAATAATTAAATAAAGTTCAATAATCTCAGAAAGAGCTCACTGACCTTTAAACTGCATAATTTCTCCAGTGGGTGTTTTGGGTAAACCCTTCAGACAGATCTCACTGGTCAGAGCCAAACCAACACCACAGCTACCGAGCAGAAACCCCACCTGGCTGATTCCTGCATCCTAAAAACACCACACAAACACAAAAACATATTTATAGTTAAACAGTTAAACAATTTTAAAAAATCTGTATTTAAACAAAATGGACATGTTGGATGTTTTCTTACTTTGCGAGACAGCGGTACTTCAATAGGTACAGGTATGACTTCAGCCAGGAGGCAGCCGTAGAAGGCCACCCAGAACATACCAGGGTCACTGTTGGGGTACACCAGTGCCACCTACCAAGACATTAAAGTTCATATTCAGGGCCGTTTTATGTCTTTATGGATGGAAACTTGTTCTTAGTTATAAGTAGCCATGCTCTCAGCTCTGTGAAACTGTACTAAAGCACAGATGTGCTTTGAGCCTAATGCTAACATCAGTAGAGTAATGTGCACAATGAGGTATGTTCATGTGCAACTTTATGGCCAAAACACGGCAAATGTCAGGTGACACAGCAGGGGGCCTTCGTTGCCGCTAGTTCTCTGAAGTCGGTTTGGTGTGTCTGGGCCTTTATCAAAACATTTGCTGCCCCTAAAATTCTGTGACCTGCAGTATTAAACCACATTTATTACCACCAGTTACTACAGGTGTCCCCAAATCACCCAGGACTGACTTGAGACTGGCACTGTAAGGACTGCAGCACCTTGTTGCCTTTGTCATACATTTGTTGTGTGAATTGTGTGTCAGCTCTCTCACCCTGTCACCAGGTTTGAGGATTTGCTCATTCTTTGTGCCCAGCTTGTTCAGGAGGGTGTACGCCAGCTTCACACTGCGACTCCACAGTTTCCCTAACAGACAGAAGGTGGAGCGGGGAGGAGGTTAGTTAGGAGGGTAGGTTATATGTCTTACCATTGCCAAGAAAAGCTCATATCACTGAGAAGACACATCTCTTTATTATCTAATGAACTCTTGAACTCCAAACAGGAACTCCTTAGAAAAATCTCTCAACATAGAAAAGTACCTTTCAGCTGTATGTTACGCTACTGATTAGACACTATAAACACACTTCCAGGCTTTCAGTATGTCACACAGTTTTGGGTCTCACCATAAGTTAGTGTATAGAGCGGTTTGCCAGTGATGTCAAGGGCAGTGAGGGCGGGGCTCTTCCCCTGAGTGGCCCCCCAACGGGCTAATGCTGCCTGCAAGGCTGGGGGCCAGTTACTGACCACGCCCAAAGGCTCCCCTTTCACCGGGATGATCTGACGGCCCTCTGGTTTGGGTGTGTTGGGGTCCTGCTGGGGCACTATGAGGGACAACAGAAAAAATTCAGGTCAACTATTTAATCCTCAAGTCCTCAGATCCCAACAAACTGTACCAATAAGTCTGGTAAACATCAATAATTTTATTTCAAATTGTAACTTGGATCCCAAGTCACCAAATATGGGTGCTGTTCTAATAAGGCAAACCTTTTCACATTGTGACTGACTGCTGTATCAATAATTAATAAGTCATGTACTAATGCTTTGAGAACAGTTAGAATCATTAATAAGATCACATTTTGAAAAATGCCTTTGACTGGGCGGACTTCAGTCTACTTACCTGGACTAGATCCATTTATTAACAACTTGCTAACATTCACAACTGCAGCCATAAGTATTGATTAGTAACTAACCTACAGTTATAACTGGTTTAATACCAAAAGGCAAGTATAAACACTAGTCAAACCCATTTTTCCCAAAGTGGTACCCAAAAAAGTTGCACTTATTAGTGGCTTATGATTGATCTATAAAGCATATGTAAATTACTTATCAATAAGTAATTCCCTGAGTTACAATACAATACAGTCATATACACATAGTCATTCAAACTCAGATTCTAATACTGTTCATCATGTAGCACAGTTTTGAAAAAACAACAAAACAATCTTCAAAGCCACTTAAAGGTGCAATGTGTACGTTATGCCCAGCATTTTACTTTAAAACATTCCAAAATTAACTATCATCATCAACAGAATGTGAAGAAGTAACAGCTTTGATGTTTGTCAGACGTCCATGTATCACTAATATGTTTTGCAGAGATATGTAATGAAATTAGCATGCTAACAAGCTAGCCCCAGCCCGTCCCATCTTGTTTTACCACTGTAGCATCCAGTCTGCCCTCAGTCCAACATGAGAGGATGAAAAAGTAGAGCTGTCCCAAGGGCCTGTCAGCAGGGATGGGCAATCGGACAAAAATTTCGGCTACTGGCGACTGGCTGAGTACATCACCAGCTGCCTATTTTTGGGTATTTGTCATTTCATTTTCCTAATTGAGTGGTCTGGCTCCAAAGAACAACTGAGAGCCACTGCTCAGTGGGCAGCAAGAGTTGACAAGGCAATTAAGCCTGTCTTAGTTCAGCGAAAGAGAGAAATTGAATTTAGATGGGGTATTTTTCTGTTTATTAAGGAAAATAGGGGTTGAAATATTTCCTTTCTTATGAGCTTATTATGTTTATTTATGTGACTAAAAAAGCTAAGAGAGTATACTAGCTGGCAAGGAGATGAAATGCTGCTCCCTATTAGTTTGGAATATGTGACTAGGCGTTACACACTACACCTTTAAGTAGAAATTAAATTTAAAAAGTACTTTGGTTGAAGTGTTTCATGAAGACGCATACCTTCTACGATCTCCTCTGAGTCGTCAGTGAAGAACTCGCTGAGCGGGGGCCTCTTGGGCCTCTTCAGGGTGTTGAGCAGCTGCTGAATCTTAGTGGACACTCTGCTGCTCACAGGAACTCCTACAGAGTTGATGAAGGGCAGGGAGAGGGCAGTGGCATGACAAACACACGGTGACACACACACAGTGACTCGAACATCCAGTGACAAAACACTATGTCTAAACTTTTTACCATACCACAGTCTGCTGCTCGTCATTCCATAACACAAGAGACTGCATTCTTTGGTCGACACAATTGATGATAAGATCTTTAAGTATCTTTTGGGAATGAAAAGCAGCACACGTAGGTGGTAACAACACAAGGAAAACACAGTGAGAACTGGGGTAAAGTTTTGTTTGGTTCAGGATCACACGTGAGGATTCATTCTGCGCGTGGATGTTGTTTTTGTGGCATTTACTTTTTTCTTTAACAATTCATTGAAAACAGGAGGGGGAGTAAGGGTACAACAGCAAACACAGAAGGCTACAGACATTATACATTAAGGAGTTTTCTTACTCTGGATATTACCTCTTCCTATCAGCCAAATAAACATGTGACAGGGTAGAGAAAGATCAGGAAGAAGAGAAAGCAGTGAAGTCTGATTAATGATGATGTCATGGATGGAAGTCAACACTTAATTTGAAGAGAGAAGAGATTTGTGAGTGGAATCAGACACGAGCTCCCGCAAAGGGCCCTGACACACCAAGCCAACAGTCAGCTGTCAGTGAACGTCCAAAGCCCTAGTTTTTGTGGCGTGTCCCACACCACTGGCACTAATTGGCCCTTGTTCGTTTTTGTCGCAATTTCAGCACGTTAAAACAGTGCTGGAGACGGCAGAGCCAGTAGGTGAATGAAAGACCTCTATGTGACAGTTCAGCTCAGCGCACAAGAAGAGAAACAGAAGTGATGAAAGCAAACAAACAACTTAAGTCAAGAGAGAGTGAGATCGTGACAAACTTGTCATATTAGGCAAGAGTTTTTTCAGACATTGAGGTCTTGGGATGAAACCGTTCGCAAATGCTACATATCCTTTGTTCTTTCAACATCGGGTTGTGTTTTTAATGTGCTAACTGGCTAACTAGCGCATTGAATCCATCCCGTCGGTCTTCATGTTTCCCTTTTTGAATGATGAATACAGAGTTATTTTTTCTTACAGATGTACAGATTGTACGTACTAGTTGGCTGTTTGCTGTAGTCTGTTTGTTCAAGTGCAGCTTTTTGGCAAGGTGACTTAAGTTCTTTAATGTTGGTTTGGTGTGTCTGGGCCTAAAGACTTAAAAAGAATATAAAATGTTATTTAGTGTGATCATTACCGTCCGCAGTCTCCATCATGCTCGAGCGGCTCTGCCCACGGCTCATCCCTCGCACGGCGTTTGAGGGCAGGTCGACCCGTGGGCCTCTGGATGGAGGGGCCACAGCTGTCACATCTGGAGGAGGGGCGCTGTTCCCTGAGGGGGCTGCCAATTACAATATGAGGAACTGGATGATAACAAGCGTTTGAGCGTAACAGAGACCAGTACCTTCCAGTCAAAATTCAAAAGATAAATTTCTTTTGGATCTAAATCCTGTCAGTGGAAAAACCGCTACATGTGCTGTCAACTAATACTCATAACAGCAGAGGTGTTCCTGAATATTTTAGCCAGCCAAGTGTCTCACCAATGCGACTGTTGGCCAGCATGTCCGTCACAGCTGCGGTGTGGGCTGAGGGCTGAGGCTGAGGCTGAGGCTGCTGCTGCTGCTGTGGTTGGTATTGAGGTTGATACAGAGGTTGGTACTGCGGCTTGTACTGAGGCTGAGGCTGAGGCTTAGGCTGGCTCTGAGGCTGCGGCTTGGCCTCTCCGTGGGACAAGGTGGAGGAGGCCGAGGAGGAGGTGGAGGAGCCCTGGACGGTGCGGTTGATCCAGGAGTCCGGGCTCTGCAGGTTGGGATTGACCGCAGGCGGAGGAGCAATGACTGATGACTGCCTGCGCGCAGACGTCTCATCTTCAGAACCGGATGAGGAGTCTGAGAGCAAGAGAAGGCACAAAGTATGAGTTTAAAGCATTGTGTCCCCCTAGCTAATGGTCATTTGTTAGGGACATTGTAGCCGTCCCTCAAACGTCACTTCTTAAAGCCCCCATTTATTATAACAGAGCGGAGGGATGGTCTTCCTTCCTGTCTTACCTGGTGGTGTGCGGGTTTCAATGGGAGACTGGACATAAGTGGAGCGTCGTTTGGTAGGCATGGGCAGCGCCATCTTCTCCTCCTTATGTTTAGCCAGGGCTGCTTGTACTGCTTCAGAATGGATATCTGCACCGACAGAAAACAACACACACTTTGAGTTAGGAATGGCAGCTGAGGATCTGATTCAAAGCAAAGGAACAATAAAAGAAACAATGAAAACAGCCTTTAAAACTGAATCATCAAGAGCCAGTTTTCCCACAGCACATAGTCATACTCTGTTTTCCTTACAGACCTTTTTACTTCTTTGTATATTGGCTTAATAAGTGACTTAGAAAAAAATCTATAATTTCCCTATCTGTTGCTTGATGTTGTTATCATTTCATTTTAATTGTGCTGTGAGTTAGGGCTGCGTGATTAATTCATTTCATTTCCAAGTTTTGATTTTGGCTTCCAACCACCTCTTAGCTCCACTTTGGCAACGACTCTCTTGGTAGATTCAGCGACTTTTTAGATCCTCTTGGCGAGTTTATTTCTAAAAAGTGACGAGCAAAAAATTTTGCATCTTAGCAACAGCATCAGGGAAAGCCAGAAATAAATTAAAATGCATTATATTGTAGTTTATTCCCTCTCTTCCTCTCCTCCAACACAATGTTTAGATTTATATATTGTATATTACTTATTTTATTCACCTAATTTTTTAAAACAATTCATAAAACATTGTTTTTCCAATTGCATTGCAATTTTAGTTAAAATCAAGAATATACACTTTTAAAAGTCTTCTCAAAAAGTTCAATAAATGCATGATGCTTCCAAAGTCAATAAATATCTGTGTTAAATAATCGTTATCTCAATTCTGACCAGAATAATTGTGATTACTATATTTACCATCATCGAGCAGCCCTACTGTGAGTCTATAGATCAGTGGGTTACAATCTGCCAATCCAAAAGCCTCTTTCCCCAAAACAAGGAAGGGACAGAAACCGCAGCCTGGGAACTATGATAAGTTTAGATCCTGGTTCCTGAAGTCTAATGGCTGGTGAAGAAACCTGCATTCCTAAAAATGCTCTTGGGTTCCTGGAAGCTTGTGCTGTTAAAAAAAGGTAAAAAGGTGCTAAGCATGGCCGTAATAACACTGGTTATTCAGCTCTCAGTCTCAACACATTAAACCTGCGGTGACTTGAAAGGAAATATCATTTTGTTCTAAATTATCACAAGATTAAAAAAGCATGATAAACACTGCTTCATTTGTTTCCAGTAATTTTTGACAGTGAGGCTCTGGTGACGAAGAAACAGCCAATTTAAATATCAGGAGAAAATCCTGAGAGAATGACTGCGTTTTCCCACTGAAACAGGAAACCACGACGGGAGGAGAGAGCGAAGCTGCGTATTAGCCCACACGCTTGCCTACACACAGTAATAACTGCAGAGATACTTTCACTTGATGACACCCACAGGCACATTAAAAAAACCCACGTGAGCAGCCACATTCAGACTGCGTAACAAAACATGTGCAACAAAAGCCCACTCACTGACAAATCACATCTATTAACTCAGGGGACAAACATCAACACATTTAAATAAATCATCAAGCACAGCTCATCACACAGCAGCAGCGGGGACCATAATTACATAACTGGCATTCTGCTGAACAGATTGCTTGGGGCTAAATCATCTCCTCTCATAATGTGCCATCGTCCACCCTCACACAGGGGTGTCAGGAGAGGCTGACTCCTTACACATGTCTGGGAGGATGAGGGCTGTCTCCGTGGCGATAAGCACGGTTGGGTGTGTGGAGGGTAGCGGTGTGTTTTACACCACCTCCAATTAACTCTGGAGATGTACGATCTGATATCATCTTTCACTCTCTTTGGTTTACTGTTACACACTTGATTCAGTGGGATCATTTATCTGCTGCAGAGGCAGCAGCCTCAAACCAGTCTGTGTGTGAGTGCAGCATTGACAGGTTGTAATTAAATTAAGGCTGTTCTGCACTTTCTCTGCAGCCCATCAAATGATGAGCACTTTAATTACTTAAGTTTCTCAATGCTGCAGTGTTTTGTCATTTCTTCTTCCCAGCTGTTTATGCTGGGCTCTTTTAGAACTTCCCAATGTTTAGCCACCTTAGCAGCACATCTCTAGGGACACAAATGCACTTACTGTCTGTCTGTTTAACACATAAAGTGCCATGAAACATTTTATGAATCTTACAGACTTTGGTGATCCCCTGACTTTGCTTTACCACCATTAGGGTAAAATTTCGCCTTTGTCAGATTCCTCAGCTTATAACCAAACACCTGTAACACTAACAACATTTGCATCAACCTAGAGCTGTGCTTTTTGTTCAGTGTTAGCATGCTAAAATGCTCAACCGTATACCTATACAGTCTGTGTACTGAGCTCAGACAGTGGAGTGTGTGTTACCTCTGCCCTGTGTTGTCTCAAATCTATGATCCTCAGCCCTTTGTTCCCTCAACAGTATGTTCATTCAGCCCTATGTTCCCTCAACAGTATGTTCCCTCAGCCCTAGGTTTTCTCAAACTTATGTTACCTCAGCCCTATGTTCTCTCAACTGTATGTTACTTAAGCCCTATGTTCCTTGGACCCTATGTGCCCTCAGTCCTTTGTTCCCCTTAGCCCTGTTTCCCCCACCCTACATTCCCTGAACAGTATGTGCCTTCAGCCCTATGTTCCCTCAGTTTGCTCAAGCTTATGTTACCTTAGCCCTATGTTTCCCCTGTGCCCTCAATCCTGTGTACCCTCAGTCCTATGTTCCCTCAGCCCTGTTTCCTCAACCCTCAGTTCCCCCAACAGTATGTTCCCTGAACCCTGTGTTCCCTCAGCCCAGTTTCCTGAACCCTATGTTCCCTTAACACTATGTTTCTACAACCCTATGTTCCCTCAACCCTGTTCCCTCAATCCTGTGTTCCCTCAGCCGTTTCCTCAACCCTACGTTCCCTAAACAGTGTGTTCCTTCAGCCCTATGTTCCCTCAGCCCTAGGTTTCCCCTGTTCCCTCAATCCTGTGTTCCCTCACTCCTGTGTTCCCTCTGCCCTGTTTCCTCAACCCTATGTTCCCTAAACCCTGTATTCCCTCAGCCCTCTTTCCTCAACCCTATGTTCCCCCAATCCCATGTTCCCTCAACACTATGTTTCCACAACCCTATGTTCTCTCAGCCCTATGTTCCCACAATCCTGTTTCCTTAACCCTATGTTCCCTCAACCCTATGTTTCTACAACTCTTTGTTCCCACAACTGTGTTAGCTCAACCCTTTGTTCCCTCAGCTCTGTGTTCCCTCAGATCAATAACTCCAATGAGGTAATGTGTTTGCCCCTGTAATAAACTGGCCTACCCTAACCCAGTTATGGAAAGGCCGGCCCTGATGCTGAGGGAACATAGGGCCTAATTTGTATAGAAATAAAAACCATAGGTGCTGAGGGAACATAAGGCTGACCCCAGTACAGCCTGACAGAGCTGCTAGCCTGGTCGTAGAGAGTCTTGGTGTTGTAACCTGCTGGTTTATACAAGCTGGTGGTTGTAACTGCCAGCTGAACCTGGTGTCCAAAACAATTCCCCATTGGCAAGTCCCTAATGCACTACTTTCTGCCATTTTATTTTAGAGTCCAAAATACACATTGCGAGTTTATTAGGTACACTTAGCTAAAGCTAACAGTCTTACAATAAAAGCTATCTTAAAGAAAGTTATAATGTTCAGATTTAGACAGAGAGGTTTTGATTTGAGGATGTCATTTGTGGTGCTGTTGAACTGTATCACTGTTTACATTACTTTGTCCACCCCATTTATATCAATTAAAGTAGGCCAAATACTAAAAATACCTCTACCTCTACCTAAAAATTATGCACTATAAAAAGTGCAGTAAAAAGTCCCACAGTGGAACAACAATGTAGCATTGATGACATGTACATTAGGGCTGCATGATATGAGGAAAATCTATGATATGCGATAAATATCATGATAATGATATTAATTGCCATGAATAAACAGATATTAAAGTGTACTCAGTTCTGCCTTTCTGCTGCTCTTAGTACACTGAACACAAAATGCCCTAATAAAAAAAGAATGACGGTTAAAGAGAGCAGTTTTCTGCTGATAGTCTCTTTCAACGAACTAAAAAAATCCCTGACTGCAATATCACAGTCTTTCACAATGTATATTTGATATAAGTGAAAAATACAGGTATGTAACACTACACAGTGGGCAGCTGTGGTGAATTCAGTCCATTTACTACATTTGTAAGTGATGGAGCAAAATGATAATTATTCATATATGTCTAAAATCTCAATGTATGGCTTACGACAGAGTTGACTATTGATCGCATCAGGAGTAATGAATGAGTGAGCATGGGAGTGACTGCAGACACTTCACTGACTCCCTTATAAAGCAGCCTAGTTGAAATGTATCAGAGCACTTTCACTCTACTACACTGTGAACACAGTAAAATGGACGTCTCATAATATGGCAAAAGGCTCATCATCCCTCTCGTCCTTGGTCTGTGTTTTTCTCCTCCAGGCCGTCTCTTTCAACCCATCAGTCCTACAAAACTTCACTTCAGCGCTGCACTTTTAAAGCCAAAAACAAAGCTGCACTACTTTCCCTCAGTCCATTTAATTTACACTCATTCCTCTTCTCAATATATTGCACCAATCTCAATTTTGCCTCTATTTTTCCAGCTCTAATCCTCTCAGTGCTGAATCCTCCGCTCCTTCTGAAGCTTTCAATCAGATAAAAAAATATTCTGTTGCTGGTCAGATTTTCTATGACAACGAAGCACCCACCAAACTCCAGCCTAACAGACTTTAGATTAGTCAGCCTGGTATTTAGCATGCTGGTGTGTGAGGGTGTTTCACACGAGAGGCAAGAAATGTTGAAGAGGCGAGCGGTGAGACAGAATTAAGAAAAGGCACAGCAGGGTAGGGGCTGGTCCAGAGGGAGGATGCTTTTACAGTCTGAACCTCAGCTAACAGACACGCTAACATCCTCTACTCTACTGCTCTGTTTTCCTTTATTCTCGTCGGCGTCAGGTTTTCCCCTCCAGATCAGTACCCCCCTGTTCTCCTCACAGCCTCCTCACACATAGCCAGGCAGTGACATCACTCTGCTTTCAGAGTGTAGGGGTCCTCATGGAGGGGCTTCCCAGCTGCAGGGCTGCACTGGCGTCTGCTGCTCCCACAGACACACACACACACACAAACACACACACACACACACACACACGATTCTTTAATTGGTCCCTTTGAAACAGCCCAGTGTTTGAGCTTAAAAACAGGCAGGCTCAACAAGTGAAGCTGATGTAGGCTAATTTGAAGTTATCTGAGGAAACAGCACTGCATGTCCTCAGTGCATCAGAGGTCTTCTTCCACATTTGCGGAAAAAGTGAAGCTGAATGCAGTTTTCTGATGTTCTGACCTGATCTGTAGCGGTCATCCCTGGTTCCTCCACTGCGATGTGTTCTGCGGGAGCGACGTTCTCTGTAACGGGATGAGCTGGAGGGGGGAGGGGCGTGGCTGGAGGAGGAACTGGGAGCGGGCTGCACATCATTCTGACGGGGCGGCTCCACTGTCACATAAACACAGCAAACATGTATTAGTTAATTGTATTACTAACACATGAGAATCTTGCTTACTGTCTTGCCTCTCTGTGTAATCTCGTTTGCTGCCTTAAAGGGAAACTTTGGTATTTTTTAACCTGGACACCATTTTTATATGTTTTTGTGTCTAAGTGACAAATGGAGACAACAACTTTGAGAACTGGTTCAGTATTGAGCCACGAAACAGGTTGCAATGAAATCTTTCAGGGCAATTGGACGTCATCAATGTATGTCCACTAAAACTGCTTTTTTTTGGCCACTGACAGGCAAGTGTCTGACCCGACAGAGAAATAAAACATTTTTCTTTACCTTTCTCTTGATATGGTCTGTATCTTCCTGCAACCACTGAACTCTTGTGAGATTTCTGCTTAAGCAAAACTTGGTTACACGCAATAACAAACAGACCATATCAGTGAAAGGTAAAGAAAAATGATCCTTGCCACAGTGTTTAAGACACAGAATAAAAATCTGAGCCTAGTTAAAAACAAGCACTTCTACTGAACGTAAAATGACAGTGCAAGGTTCCCCCAAATGTTGTGCTGTCACAACACTGGAATTTCAAACTCTGATACAATATGTTGAAAAACATCAACATTTCATACCATTTTTGATTCCATGGAGAAGAACTGACATTGACATTATAAAATTTGAAATTTTTATGAAAGGATAAATATAACAGGGCGGCACGGTGGTGTGGTGGTTAGCACTGTTGCCTCACAGCAAGAGGGTTCCTGGTTCGATCCCGGGTGTGGGAGCCCTTCTGTGCGGAGTTTGCATGTTCTCCCCGTGTCAGTGTGGGTTCTCCCCGGGTACTCCAGCTTCCTCCCACAGTCCAAAGACATGCAGGTTAATGGGTGACTCTAAATTGGCCGTAGGTGTGAATGTGAGTGTGAATGTTTGTCTGTCTCTATGTGTCAGCCCTGTGATAGTCTGGCGACCTGTCCAGGGTGTACCCTGCCTCTCGCCCAATGTCAGCTGGGATAGGCTCCAGCCCCCCCGCGACCCTCAAGAGGATGAAGCGGTTAGAAGATTGATGGATGGATGGATAAATATACCAAGGCTATAATATGAAAATGTTGACTTTTCTTTTCTTGGTCAGTAGCAGATAACAGCAGAATGACTGTAGTAAACATTAACAATAAGAGAGACTGAGGAAGTGCAGCTGCTAACAGTGTAACGATACAGCGGAAAATGAGTACTGAAACCATTTTGAATATTCAGAATTGATATGTAACATGGAATCAACATTATTTACAACACTACCTGAACGATTAAAATTCAGTTCCCATTAGCCAATTAGACACACAAACGTGAAAATAGGGTCCAGGTTGAAAAATACCACAGTTTTCCCTCAACAGGATTAAAAGCCATTTCTGTCAACTGTATTTTACCTTAAAAAGATAAGATCCACCATTTTGACTTTCAGAAACAAAATGACAAAAAAAGAAATTATAAAGCTGTGGAATTCCCCAGTTGCTACAAGAGAGGGGTTTAAAACATGTTTGCATACGTTGTGCAATTTTCTGAAACACTATAATATACTTAACTTATACAGGATATCAGATATGGAACAGGGAAGTGAATAATGATTTGATATGATTTAGAGTGTGTTAATTTAATTTAGGCTGTGCTGCACAATTTGTATTTTTCTTTCTGCATTTCCTGTTCCTACATTTGTTATTTTTACTATTAAATATTATCATCATTATGGTTTGTATATACTTTCTTCTCTTTTGTGTTCTCCCATATTTATCTCAAGTACAAATTCCCATATTAACACATAATAGGCCTGCATAAAGTATACACACACCCACTACATCACGTTACAGCTGACGGTGATGCAAACCAATACCAATAAACAATAGCACTATACTGGACTAGTAGATGAACTTAATTACAAGGACACATTCGGTCGACTCAATCAAGTTGCTTGATTGAGTCGACCGAATGTGTCCTTGTAATTAAGTTCGACTCAATCAAGTTGCTTGATGAGCAGAAGGAGACATTTTCTATCCATTAGCCGATTTCTTTGCAAACTCCAACAGCAACCATCATAGTCGTCAGAGTAGTGACGGGGCCTCCAGCAGGTAGACGCATATTGCATTCAGCCAACAACTAATCATCATTTGTGCTCCACCATCAGTGGGATGAAGGGAGATCAGCAGAGAGGTGGTACCACTAGGAGGCTGCAGTGAGCATTATCAGGTCTTGGTGTTTATTTACTGCAATCTATACCTCGATTACACCCCTGCATCTATTCTACGATGCATGTATGTTTTCAACATTTACTGATTTTTTAAAAACACAGCATTTACAATGTGTGTGACCCAAGTTGAAATAACTGGTTATAAAAAGACAAGCAAATGTATAAGACTTTAACTCAAAGTAAGCAGAGCACTTATTTTGTGTTACTGAGCCATGACAATAAGACACTGAAAATCAATTACATGGTATGACATGACACAGTATTTTCTTTTGTGTATAGCCAGAGAAGAAAAGGAAAGGCAGATAGGGGATACACAGTTATTAGTTACAGTTATGCTTTCCCAGGAAAGAAAAAAGAAAAGGTGAAGGGGTTTTTACCTGGAGTGTGGATGATGTAGGGAGCCAGGAGTTTGGTCCTTTTCTTCTCATAGCCCTTCTGTGTAATGTCACCTGTAAACGATCACAAAGAAGAAGAATGACTGCACAGACCAGGGACGGTGAGGCAAAGTCAAATAAACTTATATTTGACAGGAATAAACATCAGCTGTCAACAGCACACAGTCAACATTTTATGGGCAGTCTTTTTCCATTCTGAGATACATATATTCTTGATAAAATGTGTCATTTTAAGAGTAACAAAGACCCATAAAAAATGACTCAAATGATTTTGTCAGAACCAAATGACATAATTTTTATAGTCTGATAACTGAGGACTTTTGTAATGATCTACGTTGTCCGATGTGTCTAAATGTGGTCTATCACCACATCTTCAAACACAACAGTGGTGACAGAGCAACAGAGAGACTGGTACAATAAACAAAACTTTGTAAAGGAGAACACGGAAACACATATGGATGCACACAGTTGTTACAGTAATCTCCAGAGATGGCTGAGGGCCTAAAAGATGTGGCTCGTTTCCAGCCTCAAGTACGACACGAAGAGAAAAACAAAACAGGACTAAATTTGGAAACGTACGGAAACATGGGCAAGAGATGGGATGATTCAGAGACGCAGAGAACGAAAACAAGAGAGGCATTAAAGCTGAGGATGAGAGGGGTGGGAGGCACACAGAGATTAAAATGGGAGAAAGTGACAGAGGTGAGTGACGGTGCATCCGGAGGACAGAGGAGGAGGAATCTCCTGTAAGAGCAAAATGTCCCTCCCGTCCCCCCTGCTGACAACCCATCTGCATCTTCCTCCACCCCACCAGACACAACACGGGCCGACTGAGCCTCTCCGCAGGCCCTGAAGCGATGCAGCTACTCTGCCAAACTCCTCTGTGGGCAAAGCTGTCAGATTTTCAGACACATACTAAAAATCCATCTGGAGAACCTGCACTCACTTTTCTCCTGACTGTGCTGAGCATTGATGATTCATTCAGTATGTCCGCCAATGGCTGCCCTGACTGCTCTCAAACCTCCTCTTCATCATGAAGACTGACTCAATAACACAGTGGCTTCAGCCTCTTTCACACACAGTTCCCAGTAAATTACTGAGTTAACTTTCCAGGAACTGCAAGTGGTTGTCACTATTCAGACCTACGCTACATTCAGGAACATCTCCTTCTTATCGCCTTTTCACACATGTGCCATGGCGATGCCGGAATAGATGGGGCAAGGGACAGTCCAATTGATGGTGGTAATACAACACTTATGGATGACAACTGCCGTAAAACCCAACAGAAGAAGAAGAAAATCGAGCAAGGCTGTATTGTATTTAATATTCAACAAGTTTGCGAGACAAGCAACTAACCTGTGGAAGCTCTGGCTTAAACAACAAGACACAGATTCAAATATATCATCGGAAGAGTCTTGTGATTGGTTCGCTTCAGATGGACGTAACCTTTTATGTGCTTGCCCCTGCAATGTTACTGCTTTCATTCAAAACACAGCCGTACTGACAATTTCCCAGAATGTTACTCATCTTGAGATGGGAAAATGGTGGTACAGACTTCCCTAGATATTAACCCATGCAGGAAATATACCTGAGCATTTCAGGCATGAATGGTGTGTCAAAACTGAAAACTAAAGAAGCCTGCACTGTCTGTGTGGTGACCCTGGGTTGTTTTAACTCTGTTTGATATTAGCCAGTCTGACATCTGATCCCATTTTGTGACCAGCAGCGCCTCTTCTGCAGTTGAATCATCTCCTGGAGCTCTGACAGTTAATCCCTGATTAGAAAATTAGGCTGCTGAGATGCACAGTGATGAAAGGTTGAAGCTGTCTGACACTGATGTTGACTCTTCCCAGTTACACCACAGAGGACAAAAGAGAGGTGAACAACCGCAAGGCACACGACTACATACAGCACAAACCTGGGGCTGGGCAACAGAGTTGAATTCAGTTACAATATGAATAAGAATATTTCATAATATTAAAGGATACTTGTGCTTTATTACAACTTCAGTCTAATTTTTGTAGTTTTGGCCAGAGAACATAAGCCAACACACGACCAGACAATTTGTACAGTTTAGACAAGACTGAACTCTCAATTCCCTTAGGCTGGGCGATATGTAGAAATACCTTAATATCGAGCGGAAATATTGTAGAGTTGTAGAGTAGAGTGTAGTATTGGTGCTTTCACAAAATATTTGAACAATGAGTTTTTGATAAAGAATCATCAGTACTGTGGATACAATGCCTAAATGTGTAAAGGCACTTAACAGAACAACTAAATCAATCTGGTAAGTTCAGAAAATTACATCATTTTACTGTGATGCAGCCTTTAATACCAGGAAAGGACAACACTTACCATGATACAATATCCAAAATCTAAGACGATATCTCATATCACTATAGTGATATAATATCAATACATTGCCCAGCACCTACTTAAATTTTTATACCAACATTTACAAATCCTTAAAGTACTGAGAATTGTTTTTAAATTCAGTGTATCTACAATTTCACAACAACTGGACAAACTCCATCTGCAGAGGAAGATCATGTGATGTGACTGAAAGCTACAGAACAGCTACTAAACGGACCTTGAGAATTAACTTTTAATCTCAACAGTTTAGCAAGATTATCTAAACCACTTCATATGGTGATAAAACCAAATCTGAATATGCACATGAGTGTATCTGTAATAATATCTCATGGCAACTCTGAACCATTAATTTGGTCTGTAAACTGTGATGGACGTTTGCAACAGACAGAATGGGTAATAATTTTACTATTATCCTTTCTTCTCTTCCAACTAAAGTTGGAGTTTGTTTAAACCAGCATGATTGTGTTACTACTTGTGTTTCTTACCCTGTCACACCTCTTTTTAGTAATGCTGTGTTCCCAGATTTTCAGCAATTTTATTGTAACTAACAGGATTAACAGTCAAAAGTATGAAAATAAGATCCCAGACAACCAGAATTATATTTAATTAAGAGCAATTATATTGAGTAGATGGTAAATATATACCATCAAATAATCTTTGCATCAGTCAAAAAATTTTCTGGACAACAGAAAGTGTCAAAAAATAACATATGACCATACAAACTCAATATACAGTATCTCAATCTCAATCAAAGACAAAACACTACAGGGCTGCAATTAATGATGGTTTTTGTTACTGAACAATCTGGCAGTTATTTTCACATTAAATCAATCATTTGTTCAGTCTATAAAATGTCAAGAAATTGTGAAAAATAATACTGATTATAATTTCCTAGAGCCCCAAATGGCACCTTCAAATTGCTTCGTCTGGCCAATCAACAGTCCAAAAACCAAAGATTCTTCATTTACTTTACTAAATGACAAAGAAAAGCAGCAAATTTGAGAAGCTTGAACCATAAACTGTTTCCCATTTTTCCGAAAAAAAAAATGACACAATTGAAACAATTGATCAATTATCAAAATAGTCAATTAATAGGCAATTAATCGACTAATCGCTGCAGCTCTACAAAACACAAAACACAGATCCAACTCGACATTTAAATGCTTACTGACTATTTAAGCTTTGTCAACAAGATCTATACATTGATCACAGTTCTTCAGCACAGCAGACACCAAAGCAGCAATACTTCAACAAATTGCTCATGTACTCAGATAACCAGGATGCTGCTGACACACTGAGACAAGCTGACAAAGAGTGCTCATGTTTGAAGGATATCGCCTGAGAGCCCACTCCAACACAATATCTACTCAGGGATTTTTTTTTTTCTGAGGAAAAAAGGGAAGAAAAAGCAAACACTTCCATAAGTAATGCATGAACGGTACAGTTGGCCTCGCTCAGTCACATGATTTATTTTTAGCTCATGTGAACAGGCAGTTTCTCTGCAGAGAGACACAGGGGGAGAGAGAGAGAGAGAGAGAGAGAGAGAGAGAGAGAGAGAGAGAGAGAAATGCTACTCTTATCCACAGCTCGGTTGTTTTCCTGCCATTTTGTCACGTTCTTGTTTATTTTAATTGTATGGTTTGTACTAAAGTGCTCTGGAAACATTGCATTGTTTACAGTAATGCCAATTTAGCCTCTGAAATTGAAATCAAATTGAGAAAGCGAGAGAGACAGAGAGGGATGGAGTCCATGATGGGGGAGGGGCTGCTCTGGCATTTAAATCACAAAGTAATCACTCTTCCATCTGGATGATGAGAAATTCATCTGTTTTTTCCTGGTTGCATCATCAGATCCACGCTCCAGCAGTGGGAGCTGAAGAGTTAAAACCTTTAAGGGAATATTAGTGTTCAGTCTTCTTATGTTTTTCTCAGTAAAATGAATAAATATATGACTTTTTGTCAACTCGGTGAGATGTCAACTCCATCAGATTTTACCTCTGACATCCATTATGTTTGCTATTAAAGAAAAAAACTATATTGGTAGGAGGCTGACTCATTACAAGGTTTAATAGTCAAGACTTTGATCTATTAAAACACATTTTCCCAGCCTAACTGAAGAGTAAAAATCAAAACCCCAAACAAGTAAGATTTTATCCCAGTTCTCAAGATTGTGAAACATCCCTTTACAAACTTAGAACTTGTTCAGGTCTTATTTATTCAGTCTAATGCTCAGTACTTTCTTAAAACACGCATTTTAGCTAAGACCTTATGATTTAAAACACTTGCAAGAACAAGTGGAGTGAGCAAACTGGGTGAGTGTGTGCGTCTGAACCCTGCTCGTGCATTCCATTGAGCAGAGTTCAAATACATTTACTCGCCCAGGCGTGCTACCCATCCATGTGTGAGGATGTTTTTGTGGAAGTGTTTTAAATAGTAAGGTATTAGTGAAAATGCACCGTGCATAGGACTGGATAAATAAAATTTGGATCATACTGCAAAGATGTGTGAGTTTGTAAACAGATAATTTGACAAATGTTTGCTATTGTTAAATGTGGACCCTTTTAGGTAATCAATGTTTTTGGATTCTTCATCCACCATGGAGGCATGCAAGACAAACTTTTTTCTTAACAAATTCCATCCAACATAAGGTGAGAAACTGATACACAAATGATCATTTTTATG